ACTCTCTCTCTCTCTCTCTCTCTCTCTCTCTCTCACGCTGGTACCCTCCCCTTCTTTTTTCTCATTCTTTCTGTTTTCATCCCTCCCATCTGCCTTTCTGTTTGCCAGTCCATAACTCACACAAACACAAAAATGGAACAAACAAAAGAAATCCCAGTGTAATAATCTTAGAAGTCAAGTCAGCTATACCGACCAGATGGTGCGGGGAAAACTTGGGACAATAGTATTGTCACACTGAGACTGAGCTGAGATATGAATAAGAGGAGGAGACGACACTAGAGTGCCCCTAGACCGTCTGACGACGAATAATCACACACACACACACACATACACACACACACACACACACACACACGCACACACACGCACACACACACGCGCGTGTGCGCCCGCGTTTTTTTTAACGCGCACACACACACACACACACACACACACACATACACGCATCTAAGATTCCCTCCCCTCTTCCCCCTCCCACACACATACCCCCCTTCCCACTCCACACACATACCCCCCTCTTTCCCCTCCCACACACATACCCCCCTCTTCTCCCTCCCACATACATAACCACCCTTCCCACTCCACACACATAGCCCTCTTTTTCCCCTGCCTCCGCACACACCCGGCCACCCCTCTGCTCACCTTCTGCGCCTTCCTCTTGTCCGCCCTCTGGTTCTGATGGTAGATCCGGCTGAAATTGCTCACGATGACCGGAACTGGCAGCGCGATGACCAGCACACCACTCAGTGAGCACACACCGCCCACAATCTTGCCTGTGATGGTGTCTGGGGTCATATCGCCGTACCTGGGGAGAACAAGGAGGAGACAATGTAACCTTTTTCCATGTTTTTTAAAAAACAATTTGGGGGAGGAGGAGGAGTTGGAACGTCATTTTTGTGAGGGAATTATCATCATCATCATCATCATCATCAGCATCATCATCATCATCATCACCATCACCATCATCATCATCATCATCATCATCACCATCACCTTCATCATCATCATCATCATCATCGGCAGGAACAAAACACCGCACGTCGCGGAGAACAGGTTGAGCTAGCAAGACTGCGGTAGGACCGTCATTGGAGCGTGAGATGGTATCAGGACTTTGTGAATGAGGAGCTCAACCCACGTTGCCGAAGATGCAACCATGAAAAGGAGAATGTCAAACATATTATGTTTGAATGTCCAGGAACAATGGTAATTCGAATGGGGTTATTTGGACGAGTGGAGGTGCCTCTGAATATAATAACAATGGAGCCGAAAAAGAGCTCGAAAATTTCTTCGTGGAGTCCACCAGGCCCATTAAGGTAAAAAAAAATAAATCATCATCATAATTGTTGTAGGTATGATGGAAAAAAAGCAAAACATTGGAGGAGTATTTCGATTTCATAACACTGTAAAATAAGTTCATCATCATCATCATCATCATCATCATCATCATTATCATCATCATCATCATTGTTTGGAAAGCAGAGTAGGAGGGAGAGTCTTGTATGAATTTCAGACAAAATGACGTAACAATATAAAATGTTTAAAATTTGTTTAACGGCTCAATGTTTCGCCTCATCATCATCATCATCATCATCATCATCATCATCATCATCATCATCATCATCATCATCATCATCATCATCATCATCATCAT